TGTTTGAGCCCTTTTTGGCCAAGCAGTGGTCCCGAAGGTCAACCACTATATTTGATCTTACAGGATGTGCTTTCATCTCCCCAGTCCAGGTGTAGTTTCAGGATTCTTGCACTTGTCTTTCATGTTGGGAAATGTAGAAAATACAGGATATAGTCTATTGCTACCACAAAAGGCTGCAGCAGTCATGCAGCTTTGTGTTTTCCCCTGCGCTCGATTTCAAGTTTGCCACAGCGCTTGTTTAAATGCATCACGCTGCATCACGCATTGTTCGCACGCCTCTCGAAAGATCGCGAGGGTCCTCGATCAAGACCCGTTCCGAACCAGGTTTCTTGTTGAGGTAGTGAGCTGCAAGGAGGTTCCTGTGATCGATAGTGTCGCTGGAATCATTGAGCACAAGGTTGTACTGTCTGAGCTCTCGCTTGCACCGTCTGAGACCGCGCTTTCCAACATTTGGAGGCGACTCTGCTATCTGATCACCGCGTCGCAACATAAACAAATCGTTCTCGTTTTTGCTGTAATGTGCATCAACTATACACGTTCTTCATGTATCGTCTCGTAGACAACGATGTCTTCAAGTTACGTAGGCATGACGCAATGATCATCCGTTTTTTAATTCTAAACACTGAAAACATATATATTATATATATATGTTAAGACATATGAAGACATTAGATTTAGATACTGAGCAATACTACCCCCCCAGCCCATCCCCCCATTCAGAGCATCGCGCACTGTTCCGTTACCATAATCGAGTAATTACCTCAAACCACAACAGCGAACCTACATCTAAAAGATTCTAAGAGGCTCTTGAGTGGACATGGTTGCTTCTAGGATCGCTTTAAAGTCCCTGGAGAACCCTCCGTCCACTGCCTCTTTTGTGCCCTGCTTCGTCGTTGCAAAGCCCCGGCATCGAATTTCAAGAGTGGAGAGGCTTTTTGCCTTCCAGGACCTCCTAACTCAATGGGAGCAGGTGGATAGTGCCTGGCAGCAGGTGAGGGGCTACCTCCGCACAGACGCTTGGGTTTTGTTATGCGTGTTTGGGATATGTCATTCAGATTCAGGAAGCAAGCGACAAGCGACTGAAACCAAACAAAAATCGTGGCCTGATGTTGTTGTGGTGCACCCTGTTCTATCATGACCCTTGGTCCCAACCAATCTTTTGCCTCTCGGAAGCCGTTGGTTGGAGCGTTGGTTGGTCCGCGTTTCGACCATCGAAGCAACAGGTAGGCATCGATCCTCCAAATTCCTGTGCTGTGCTGGTTCTGGTTGGAGTGGTCTCTCCCTGGAAGCACCACCCCCCAAACAAAACACGAGCAGATGTTATGATACATCGACCAAGATCGCACCGCATTTCTGCGATCTTCGCGCTCTGAGGATCCAATCTCCCGGTTGGAAAGCGCCATCCTTCAGTTGGTCGCTGAACTCACCAAGATCATTCCCCTCTATGCCATGATGGATGTGAAGGCGAGTGAGAACGGGGACAGAGTCCCTCGTACAGGTGGACGAGTGGATAGGATTAATTAGATGTGATGAAGCATACATCGCTCGGAGAACGCTCCCATGCAACATGTGAACCCCAAATGCTGGCCTATAGATGCCTATAGCATCCCATATAATCCCATCTATAGTTATATTGTATATATTGGCTGACTGCCAGTGACCCCACAACCCTCTGAGTGAGTTCCCCAGCTCTTCGCAGCTTTTGGGCCGGGTTTCGACGATCGTTCGTCATCCAGATCTCGTCATCGTGTCAGGATCCCGACACCTTTCCCTGGCCCACTCTTGTGTACAGCATCATTGGGGCGCTCATCTTGAGTTGCTGCTGTGTGATGGTCATCTTGCCCTGGGCCCTTTCCCGGCGCCGGGCCACGAAGACGCCACACAACGGAGCCACCGTGAGAAGTGCGGCGGATGAGGTTTGAGAGCCATGGCTGTTGTGGAGTTGTGCAAGCCAACAGTATCACATGTCTAAAAGCTATGTTGGATCCAAAATAGACCCCCCCCTTCCTAGGTGAGACAGTGAGTCGAGTCAACCCAACCGAAATGTGTTTGTTCTCATCGTCGTCGTAGTACTTGGTGGTGGTAGTAGTAGTCCTTGTCGTCGTCGTCGTAGTGGTAGTAGTACGTAGTAGTACGTAGTAGTACGCAGTAGTAGGCAGTAGTAGTAGTAGTAGTAGTAGTAGTAGTTGTTGTTGTTGTTGTTGTTGTTGTTGTTGGAGCAGCAGCAGCAGCAGCAGCAGCGATAGCGATAGCGATAGCGATAGCTATAGCTATAGCTATAGCAATAATAATAGTCGTAGCACCATTTAGAAAACAACAACCTCAGACGTTGTTTCCAGGGCTCCAAGTTTGCGCAGATTATTCCCTCCCCTTTGACAGTCCCCGCCCCTTGACAATTTGAGTTTAAACATTCACTTTGACAAAAAAATAGTGTGCTGTGTGGAGGCGTTTCATTCAAGCGTATTCAAGTGTCATAGTTGCTCAATGCACCCAGGTGTGCAACAAATCAACAGGATCCCGTTTGATAAACCACTGTCGCTATATGTTCAGGTGTGCTAAACCGAATCGTGGCAGCTCAGGAAAACCTTTGACATCCTCCTCAAGTCTTTGAATGCTAAGGGTGGTCCTTAGAGGCCAACCGGCATCTGGGGCCACCGAGACCTCGATCACTCGATCGGCTGATGTTGACCCAGGTCACATGGGGACCCGGGTCAGGGAACTGCCGAAAACATGGGTGGCAGCTCCGGAATGGTGGACGTGTTCTTTCTTGGTTTTCCTATGTTGGCCGACAACTATTTTAGACTATGTTAGGGCGATAGGCCCACCATGACCTGCTCAGAACTGTTGCTCACAGTCCGTCATTTTTGTTGCACATATATTGACTCTTTTTCCGTTATAGCGGCCATAATTACATATTATAGTTAAAGCTTCAAGACTTGAGATTTACCACCGTAATTATGGAGCCTTTGCGCCACCCTGAGCTGATTTGCGAAGCAACGCTCATTTGTCCAACTGACTTTGGTTTAACCTTTCCTACGGCGTGCAGCTGTGTCCATGACATGTTGCAGATTTCTAGGTTTGCGGAAGTGAAGTCAATGGTCCTGGCGCGCTGGGCAACAGTCCTGGCGCGCTCAGTCGAATTGAGCCACGTTTTAAACCTCAGTTGTCATGTCAAGTAAGGAGATCCTTGTAAGGACCTGTGGCGTAAGCAAAACACTAGTGGGCGTAAGCCCGCGTAAGCAATTTTAGCCAATGTTGTTGGCGTAAGAGATTTTTCGTGATTTGTGAAATGGCAGTTTTGGACAAAGAACCTTTTATATTCCAAGCTTACAGCTTAAACATACATCCATGGGATCACTGTCAGGTTGCTGGATATTTGTTTCCTCAAGTGGCGGCAAGCTCCATGCTGCAGGTTGAATGTGATTCTGATGATTCTGCAAGATTGAATTGCATGGAAAATGAAATCATGATAAAGCCCGCAATGAAAAGGATTGTCCACCAAGACAAGGAGTTTCAACAACTGCACTGTACTATCGGATGGAAACAGCAACACTGTAATGTATGGGCCGATAGTGTCATACCTTTTTCAAGCCCTTCACCTCCAAACTTTGTTTCCGGGTTGGAAGCCAAAATCCGCGTAAGGTCCGCGTAAGCGGCGCGTAAGCCAAAGCTGCTTTTGTCAGTAGTTGCCCATGTCTCCCAAACACAAATCATTTTCGCAACTTGGTGCAGAGCGCCAGGGACTTGTCGCAAAGACCGTCTCGGACATTTTGGAACAACATTGCCCTTCTCTGGATGAAGCACACCTCTTGCTGAACAAGGCTTTCTCTAGATGTCAATCTGTCCTTCCTGGCCTGTCCGCTATCAGTGGTGCCCAGTCTGTTTGTCATGCCCACGCGCTCAGCAGAGGTGCTGCCAAGAAGCGTCGTCAACTTCGTCATCTGCGGGCTTCTTCTGTTGCTGCGGCTTCATCGGCTTCATCTTCTTCGTCCACGTCATCATCTTCTACTGCTCGATGCTGCCTAGAAACGCTGCGGTTCCTGCAGGTAAAAGTTGCTGCGCGTAAGCTGGGGCTGTGGCCGGGTACTAAAAATGTCCAGCGTAAGGTCTGCGTAAGCCGGTTTATTCCGCGTAAGCAAAACTGTGCGCGCGTAAGCAAAACGTAAGACGCGGCGTAAGCGTTGCATTGTTTGGTGCCGGGATATAAGACGTTTACAACACAGTTCAATTGAATTCCATTCGGCGAGCCCACATTCCATTCGGCGAGCACCCCGTCAACATGACGGGGTTTTCTCTTTTTGCGCATCAGGCCCCGCGCTTGGCAGCTCAAAGAGCTTTCCATTTTCGCTGGAGGCAGTTCCGAGGTCGCCGAAGGCCTCTGATGACATGACACCTCATGCATCCTCGTACCTTGATCAGATCCGTGAAGTCCAACGGTCGCATTTGCGTCGCATCCTCGGAGAAATTCGATCGGAAGCCTTCGATGGGTTGGAGGCCCGGGCGGGCACTGCAAGGCCTCCGGAGCTAGCCGCTCCAGCAGAGATCAGCGCGAAGCGTTTGACAGTCCAGCAAGAATCAACTGCTGCGCTCCTTTGAATGTGCCATGCCTAAGTTCATGGCCGTTGCATAGCCTGTGCAAATAGAGGACGGGGAGAAAGTAAGGAGAATTGGCACGACTTCAATTCAATTGTTGCCTAAAAATGTGGGAGTCTCCAAACTGATCAATTTCATGCATTTGGAGTTCGTTTGGGTCTTCCACACGCGACTTTGGATCTTGCGATTTGGGTGGTTTTGAGCTGAGCCTCAGTTGCTTTTAGGTTGCATCATGCCCTAAGTAGGGTGGCTTTGAGATATTTTTGGGGTCGATGAAGAATGTAATTAGATGCATGATGATGCATGTATATATATATATATTCCACACATGAATTCCTTTGCCGCTGACCACGGGCCATGCGACAGACCACGGTCCTTTTGCGCGGGCACGTTGCTGAGAACGGCAGGCAGAGGTCCGCGACGGCCAAGGAGGAGTACTTTCTGCAATGGGATGGTGATGAAGTGGATCTTCTAGGGGCGACTTGACATCCACAGATCTGGGAGTGCAAATGGTTCAATGAATGATCATGAAGGTTCGATGCGCATGGCCACCAGGAAGACACTTTTTTTTTGACCACCTGATGAGCACACCTCAAACGCATGATGGGTCCATTGGTTCCGAGGCATTTTGATGTGATGCTTGCACTCTACACCTGGTTTCACCCACATCTCTTCAGATTCAAAAAATAGCCAGGGACTTAGCAGGGACCAGATCCAACCTCGGGACCCCGGGCTCTCAGAACGCAGCGAAAGAAAGTCCTTTGCTGAGGAGTTGGACCTCAGAAGAGGCGGCTGGGGAGTTGGTGAACGGCACTACATCTATGTCTATGGCATATTAACACACATGTATATATATATATATGTTTACAATTACCCTAGTCTGTGGGGTGGTTTGTGTCAACTTATCATGTCATTGCAGATCCACAGCAGATCCATGAGTTTCCATCGGCTTTCGGGCGGTCAGTGGAAGCTTGAAGACCACCACTCCTTCTTCAAACGGTTGGCCGTTTTAGGCGGAGCAAATGGGTAGTTTGGGAGCAAGAACAGTGGCCTCTGGAGCCGTCCTTACGCCTGAAGCATCCTGGAGGATCCTGCACCTGGCCTGCTGAAATTGGATGAAATTGGCTTCTCACCACTGAAGGCGTTGCATTTTCGTTGACCTCACATTCACCCTCCGCAGGTCAAGGGAGATGCTTGATACGAAGTGTGCGCCCATCTGCTGAGGGCTTGGGCCTGCAACCCGGCGACGAGGCGCTTTTCCGGAGCGGTAGAGGCGGGCGTTGTGTGGATGGAGAATCACAGGATCAAGAGGGGCAGCGACTCAGGTCTTTGGCTATTCTTGTTGGGCAGTTGGGCCACTTCACATTGAATGGACATTTCCATGGCATTCACAGTTAATTAACTTATATGTTTGTTTGCCCTATGCGTGGAGTCCGCACACGCGGCAAATGAAAAACGCTGTGCTGGCTATTGTAATGAGGACTCCAGGGTTCTCGCAAGCCCCAGTGAATTGCTTGTAATTTGGAGTAATTGGCCAAGGGAATCAAGAGTTCTTAGGAGGCGGAGGTGCTTGGGATGCCAAGAACTTTATCCTTTCTCCGGGCTGCCCCGGAAGATGGGCAGAAACCGACACTCTGGCATTTGACCTATATCATTCATGATCATGAATCTATAATAATTGTATATAATTGTCATCCATCATCCTCGACCTTATCCATATATAATATATATACCTATAAGATCCTTAGGCAAGAATTTCTGCCGACCCTCATTTGAGCTCTCATGAACGCCTACTTCAAACATGAACGCCTATTTCTTTGAAGAACGCCTAAACATGCGTGATACCAGTTGATGCTTTATACCTCACTCTTTGTTGACACCCGGTGCTGTTTGGGAGAAACCTTGAGCACCCTGTCCCGCCAACACTTCGGCTTCATCCTCGCGCCTGGAGCCCCAGACTGAAACCGCAGGTGGTGTTTGTGTGTCCGTATGTATTCCTTGGTGTGAGTGTGTGTGTGTGTGTGTTTGGGGGAGGAAACCCTGAACTGGCCAAGAGGTTTCCGGAGAGGCTTGCACTGTTTGTCCCCACAGCTTTACCTGAAGTCTCGGGCTAGTTTCTCTTTGGAAGTGCCCACATCTCAACAAATTTTAGTTCGTCCACATCATCGCTTAGGCCGGCTTCTGTTTAGAAGTGCCCTTTTTTTGTAAAAGTATCTCTGAAGGATTCTGCACGACAAGCCTCTTGTGCTCAACTGTCTTGACAAGCGCGCAACCAAACCCACTGTATCCTCATTCTGCTTGCAAGCAGTAGAAATTGGAGAAAGAATTTGGACAGCCCCACGTTGGAGAGACCTGCGAAGAGTGTAAGCGACATGATGGAGTGCATGGACCTTGGGTTTCAACCCGAAACCAGTCAGCTTCATGTCATACACAATTCGGGCTAGCTTCTTGTACCCCCTGAGCAAGCACATCAGCTTTACATAGAGAATTTGCCCACAAGGGCGTGATAGCCAAAGACCATGCGAATGCATGATGCCAAAAGCATCCAGGGCAGAATCCACTGTCGCTTTAAATGTTTTCAGCAAGCGGTGGTTTGACTGGGCCAAGCCATCGTTTGATGAAATTCGAAGCCCTACAAGCCACCTCAGGAAGCGCAAGACTAGCATGGAATCACTTCCCTTCGTGTTTGCCCATGCAAAACTTGCCTTGGTCTTGACGTTGAAAAAACGCTTCCCAAATGAACGAAGCCCAGGCGTAACACGCTCTGATGCGCACCACAAACTGAAAAGGCCGTGTGCAGCCTCCAGTCGAAGCTCCAAGTTCTTGCTCCGGCGGTCGGACGCTTCATCCTGGCTTGTGAGGACGACAAAGAAACATGTTGAGGTTGCCCTACTTTGCTAGTAGCTTACAAGAAAAAAAGGTCAGCGTTGCCTTAGCTCAAGCCAGTGGCAAAAAATTGTAGCTTTGCCATCGTTACAATCATGCTGCCGATGAGGTCTCGAGCTATTCCAACCTTAAAGACATGGAACACATCCAATGCGAAGGCCAGTTCTGGCGCAACTGGATTGTAGGGCACCCTCGATAGTTCTGGAGGAGTTTCCCAAGGTCTTGAAACTCCCATCGTAGCTGCCCAATCTGGCTCGTCCCGCGTGTCTTCAAAGGCTGGTAGTCCAAAGTTGGCAGCCCCAGCTTCACAAAGTGAGCACATCATCCCCCCTCTAAGTTTGTGGTATGACCGTGTAATGCCTATTTGGACCATGTGCTTCATATCACCTTTCACGGCGCAAAGCGCTCCAAAGATCTGTTCGCCTGATTTCAATGTAACCCCATCCCAGAACAAGGAGATCATGTCATTTGACAAAAGTTTCAAATGCTTGTCCAAGACCTCGGGGTCTCTGTACAGGCAAGCAGGCCACCCAAACAGCATATGGCGAGTTACATACGAGTGGCCTTTATAGTTTGTGCTTTGCAAGGCAACACGGTGCAAGAGGTCTGGAGGCAAAGGGGTCATGACCCCATCAGCACGACATGTGTCAATACCAGCTGCCTCCATTTTTGAAACCTCCGAAGCACAGCAGCAAGCAAAATCTTTCATGTCTTGCAAGCCAAGCAAACACTCCACTGACCACACAAGGAACTTGTCACGTTTGGGCCCACGACCCTCATCGCCAAACAGGGCCAATGGAAGAACTTGGTGGAGGTCGTTTGCATGGTGTTGGAATACCACATGTTGAGGGTTGTTTTGCTCATATGCCGCCCAGAAAGACCGGAGCTGCAACGAGCGGTCCTGACACTGTCCAACCAAAGCATATGGCGCCTTGTTCATCAGGACCTTCACCCATTCACTGGGTTTGATCCAGTGGGTGGTGGTCTTACCATTCTGCAGTGGGTGCTCTACTCTCTCTATGTTGACTGGCATCGACAGGCCAAGCCGGGCAAATCTGCTGTGCATGTCACGACTAGCATTGCACCTGCTTTTCTCATGGAAGCAGCGTTCGTCACGCAACAGCTCAACGTCAGCCCGCCCAACCCTCGAAGAGTTTCCAGCTTTGATGGCTTTCTTCACGTACACAGCGTTGACCTGAAACAAACTTACACGCTGGCTTGTTTAGGCTAGAGCGCTGGCCCACAAACCCACAAAAAAAAGTTGAGGCTTGAGGGCACCACCCCATCTCCAAAGGATTCAGCCAGCGCAGCATCCAACGTCTCCACTGGTCGCTCATCATCATCACCTGCGAACAACTACAAAACCTTACTTTGGTGTCCCCAAAACTTACCCGTCTGTATTCTTGTTATGTCAAGCCCGGATTAATAGACTCACCTTAGTTTGGCCCGCCCAAAGATAAACACCTGGAAGAGATGTAGTCTTGGGGGTCCATTTCATTTACAGTAATCCGGGTTCGACGTTGGATGTTCCAACCTGCAAAGGATCCAAAAAGATTGCAGTCTAGTAGTTCCTTTCTGGGCGACTAGCAAACAGCTGCACTGCAGAATGGCGGAAGAGACCCCGAGACCCCTTTTCTTTCTCACCCAGACTGAGGAGTCGTTTGTAAGATGAGACATCGAAGCTCATAGTCCGATCCAGGTCCAAAACGCCCAGTGGCATTTCAGCCACTAAAGCTGACCACCCAACGAAGTACATGACATGTTTGCCAAGCATGTGGCTTTGCCACTATGAGTCACCCCCACGCTGACGCTTTGACGCAGGGTGTGTTTTGCATCTGCCCTCTTACCTTTGGGGGGCTTAGGGGCACTCGCTTTGGCTTTGGTCTTGGCCCCCGCTTTTGCGGTTGCTTTTGCACCACACCTCAAAGGTGAGACTCTGAGGTGGGATTTGATCAACTGAGAAAAGCACAAGCTGTTTTGAAACATATATATTGGTCTCACCACAGCAAAGAAAATCATGAAGCTTGAGGCTTAAGGCTGGAACTTCACACGGCGGTCCATGCACAAAGCCTCCAAGGCCCTAAGATGAAACAAGGGGAGTGGATGGGTTGAATAGCCCGGGAGCACAAAATGCTCAGGCCATGGCAGTTTCTTCGCAGAGTCCACCTGCGACCTGATTTTCTTTTGGCTCCTTGGACCCAAAACGGCAGAGAGCAAAAAGAACCTGTAAGGATAGGAAGAATAGTCGTTGGCTTGCATGCCAGGGTACTCTTTGGTGAAGCCATCTACAACTCCCGTGGTGTAGCTCTCATTCAGGGTGGCATCAGCTGACTGGAGGCCATCATATAGGGATCTGATCTTCTCAAGCAGCCTCATCCACAGCGGCCACCGATCCGACCAAATTAGGGTATACAGGAAACAAAGTTGACGAGGACATAGGGCGCAGTCTAGAAACTTCTTGTGCATTTCATTGGGGACCTCAACAGCTTCCAACGTCATCTTGTGTTCCGCCAACTTTGCCACACGCTTTTGGATAGCAACACTTACTTTGGGCACAACCGACGCAGGCTGGACCTCTTTCTCAACCATTGGGAAGTTAAGCTTCTTCATCATGCTCTCTGCCTCCTCCCCATCATCTGATGAGAACTCTTCACCATCGGAATCACCTTAGATTAATTGTGAGCACCCCCAGCCTATAGTTCCAACAACAACAATTCACCAACCCCATATCTGTTGGGTGGGAAGATATAAAGGAAGGGGTTGAACCAAGAATTGAGCCACCCCCATGACGTCCCTTCTGAGGCAAAGGGGGAAAGTCATTCTCCTCATCGGAGATTTCCATTTTTTCCTCATCGCCGCTCTCCGTCTCATCCTCGATCGTGCGCTCAAGCATGGAGCGGCGCGTGTTCCTGAGCCAACGGAGCCGAAGCTCAGAACCTACGAAGAACAGCAAAGGTGATGTGAGCGGATGGGCAAGCCGTGGACAAGATGTCCTTCAACTGGCAAGATCGCTTTCAGTCAACGCTCAAGCCATTGGTTCGCGAGCTGAGCAGAGCGCTCACGCGAAGAGAGAGAGCATGACTACCTACACACGCAGAGCTTTGAGGTCGTGCCGCTGCTCATGGACAGGAAAATGCGTGGCAACATCGTTATACTACCCGGCAGAGCACCACGGCGAAGGTCCTACCGATGTCATGACCACCGTCATCATCATCATCATCATCATCATCATGATCATTGCATCATTTGTCATACCAACATCACAATCATCATCAACACCATCATCAACAACCTATCATCATCAATATCATCATCGTTATTAAAATCATCATCATATCACCGTCGGCATCACCATCATATATTTG